GGACAGAGAGAGACAGAGCATGAACGGGGGAGGGGCAGAGAGAGAGGGAGACACAGAATCGGAAACAGGCTCCAGGCTCTGAGCCATCAGCCCAGAGCCCGACGCGGGGCTCGAACTCACGCACCGCGAGATCGTGACCTGGTTGAAGTCGGACGCTTAAGCGACTGCGCCACCCAGGTGCCCCCTCTGAGTCTGCTTTAAAGGAAGGAGTTGCATATCCACCCCCCGCCCCCAGCCGTAGTAGTGTGTTTATGGGGCAGAGGATATGATCTTGGGAAGAGAAGACAGAAGTGACAAAGATGGAATAACTTACTCTATTTGAACAGTAAAGAGCAAAAGGAACCTGGATGCAGAAGGGGAGGGCCCATCGAGGGTCCTTCTTCCTTGACAGGGAGGGACTGGCTTGGAAGATCAGGCTGTCTTGCACTGTAGCAAGAGGAAGATTCTTGGGGCCCACAGTGTGCTCGAGAACAATCATCAAGTGTCCAAACAGAGCCTTAGCTTCCGGAACAGGCTTGGTCCTGTCCAGATAGGCGTCGGCAGCGCCCACTTCCTCATGGGTAACTCGCTTCAGCTGTCCCAACAGAGCCAAGCGCCTGCTGCCCGGCGTAGACTTGTCCCCCACCCCAACCTGCCTGACGGGCGCAGGGGCAGCTAACATTTACCCAGGCCCTGCCCTAGGAAGTGAGGGAGATAACACTGGTCTCCCCTCTTCTCTTCCCCATTCCTCTTCCGGCCCCACCCCACCACTACCCTCCCACCCCGCCAGTCCTCAAAACGGGGCCTGCCTAAAGACACCTGGTGGTTGCTATGAGGAGGCCGGAAGGGCTAAGAGAGGCCAAACTCCGTGTGTAACCAGAGAAGAATCAGACTTACAGGCACACAGCTTTATCATAAAAGTGAAAATAATATGAAAAATTTTTTTTTTATTTCTAAGTACAAAGCCAGATACTATTAAGACTGTGAAAAACTGGCCAGAGGCCGTGAAGGACAAGAAGAAGACTTTCTTTGGCCTGGTGCCCTGTGACCCAGCGCACTGCTGTCTGGGAGTGGCGTGGGGCGGGGGACAACGGCAGAAGACGGGCTGGTTGTGGAGTGCGGGAGGAAGGCCCCATCGGCGGGACCGCTCTCTGCTCCTCAGAGCCTCCAGAACTGGGAACTGAGGTTACTCTTGGCCTCTAAGGGCCACTGGTTCTCTGGCCTAGCGGGCCCCAGGAATGAAGAGGGGCAGGGGTGAGGCACATGGGAGTGGGTGAGGGAGGAAGCATGAGCCTTTCTTCACTGGGTTTGTTCCCTGGCTGCAAGTGAGTGTTTCAGGCAGCAGCTGGGAATGAAGCAAGGTGCTCTGGCCCCCAAAGGCACTTTCAGTCTCTGTCACATCCCCGTTATAGAGAAGATCTTGAGCCCTTGGAAAGGTGGACATGTCTGAGACTTAAGGCCATAGGAGCTGAGGCTGTAGTGATGGAATCTCGGGGCCACTGGGGAGGAGCTAAAAGGAACGTGGACAAGCTGACAGGAATGAAGGGCGCTCGTCCCAGGAGCTGTGTTCAGGCGCCTCTATTTGTGTCTAGGGGGCCATGAGCATGTGTGAGGGCTCAAGCCTCGCCCTCCTCCCCACTGCCATCCACACTGGCCTGCCTCACCACCTTCCGGAGCCTGGGTGTGGAGGAACGGCCGGCCTCTGCTTGCTCCTGCAAGGCCCGGGTCCGGCTGGCCACCAGGGCGGCGCTGTTGAGGGCAACCACAGACTGGTGGGACTTCAGGGCAGGCCAAGGCCCCTTGGAACCCGGCTCGCCTCCCTTGGCCTTTGAGAGCTGAGGGAAGGGCACCGGAGGGTCTTCTTCTGAAGACTCGTTTGAAGAAAACACCTAGAAGGGTCAGAGTGCAAGAAGAATCACTGAGAAGTCTTTCCAGGGCAGAGTTATTGAGCACAAAGCCTGGGAAGGGGTAGGTGTGGAACGTTAAGTGAATGTAGAAAATCTGAGCTACTCATGGTCGTATTTCCATAGGAGGGAAGATAGCAGCCCCGCCCCACTGCCCTGCTCCTTGGCCCCCACCGGTCTTCCTTCTGGCCCCAGAAGCCCTCCTGAGCTCCCCTGCACCTGCCATATCCTTGAGGCCCCCTCCTCCTCCTCTTGCCCCCCTGCCTTTGTGCAGTCAGTCCTGAGAGCTGCAGGTGAAAACACCTTCCGGGTACCGAGTGAAGACACTACCTTTAGGAACACCCACGCTCGCTCACCCATCAACCATCCATACCCAGTGCCACCTCCTCCAGGAAGCCTCTCCCAAATGTTCCCGCCCTCTGTAAGGAGCTCTCTCTCCTCAGGTCGGCCATCTTGGCCTCCAGTCCCGTGGTGGGTCTGGCTTCCTAAGGCAAAGGCTAGTCTCTGGTCTTCTGCTTGTGCCCTGCAGCACTTAGCACAGAGGATGCTCAACTGCCCAGCCCGTATTTGGTCACGTGAGTGCCATGACCCCTCTGTACCCCATCCTCTGGTGGGTCCCCCTCAGATTTGGGAGGGGCCGCAGAGCATCTTCTCCACCTCGTCTGGGGTTGGCGGTTGGGTGTCCAGCTCTTGGCCTGGGGAGGATGCTCGTGCCATGGCTGGGCAGCCCTGCCCCTCAGGAAGCAAGTCCTTTCATCGGGCTGAGAGTTGTCTGCAGCCTTCACCCCGGGGCTGGCTCGGCTGAGAAGCCCACGCAGGTGCCTCTGGCCCCATGGCTGCTCTGCAGCTCCCACGGAGGGCAGTGCTCACCGACCGCCCGCGAGGTCTCCTTGGCTGCTTTGAGGGGACAGAAGTGAGCTGCCCAGGGAATGGTCCCCATGGGAAGTTGGGCCCCGGTCCTGGTCTCTCTCCTTCCTCCTGCCATCTGCCCCTCCTACTTCTGTCCCCTGATGTGCCTCAGTCTGGGCTCCTTCCCTAGCTCCAGCCTCACCTCTGGCAGATCACTGGCCCCTGAAATGCTTTCCAGCTCCGAGGAAGGCTCCAGGAGGCTGATGGACCTCATGACCCCTCGGAGGTTGATACGGGGCCGTGGTCCAGGCTCCTCTTTCAGGGCTGACGACCGGCTCTCCTCCAAACCCATAGCCTTCGCCTCCCCACTGCCCCCTGGTTCCGGCGGAAGAGGCGGGAATGGTGTAGACATCTCGGGGGCGAGGGGCTCCTCTGGGGAAGCCCCACCCACTTTCTGCTCCCAGATGTGGCTCTGCCGGCTGGAAAGAGGTGGGCCTCAGTCAGCCTTCAGTGACCCAGCAGCCACGCCCAGCGCCCACACCCACCTGCTCCCCGGCCCCGGCTCGTACCTGGCGGTCAAGATGCCCTGGTAGGTCTGCAGCTGGCGCAGAAAGCCAGGGTTGGGGCGGGCGATGGGCCGGAGCTCCTGCACGTGGCGCAGAGCCTGCTCCAGACTCCAGCCATACTGCTTCATGGCATAAGCTATCACCGTGGCAGCTGAGCGGCTGACGCCCATCTTGCAGTGGACTAGCACCCGAGTGCCCTGTGCTCTGTGGAGGCAGAACACGGTCAGCCCCCCCCCCTTCCCTGCCCCATCGCTGTGAGGGGCCCTGCGGTGTGGGAGAAGGACAGGGAGTGCTCCGCCCAGAGCCCAGAGCAGAGGAGGGAGTCGAGACCCTGAGGGCCGGGAGAGGTCCTGAGCTGGAGGGAAGAGGTAAGGGGACCGCTTGAAGCTGGGGCAGGCGGAGCCCCACCTCGCGGCCTCCACGAAGCCGTGTGTCTCCTTCCAGTGGGGTAGCAGCTGGGCTGACTCCTCATCCCAGAGGCGCACGTTGTGGTAGATGAAGCGATCGGGGTAGAAGTTGTCAATCTCGCGGGCCACGTTCAAGATGTGGCTGACCCTGTAGCAGAGGGTATGCGGCCCGGCTGACGCTGCCAGGGGCACCAGGCCCATTGGCCAGCAGACCCGGCTGACCCTGCTGGTTCTGTTTAGTCCTTGGTTCTGAGAGTCGGGTGGGGACGGTGCAGTCGTGAGGGGAGGAGAAGATGGCCGTGACCCTGAGCGAATCGTGCCGCCCCACCGGGGTTTGAGTTTCCCCCTCTGGTCCAGGTAGCTGCTGGGCTGACTGAAGCACTAAGCCTACTAGTCTCAGAAGCCAGTGGGAGGACAGCTTTGATCTAAGCTGAGACCGGGTGGATCTGCAGCAGCTGGGTGACGGTGACTGGGACCACAGTAGGTTTCCCGGGAGCCCGTGGGGGACAAATGGCAGGAACCAAGGAGGGCAGGCAGCCAGCCCCCCTGCCTGTCTCTGTGAGACGTGGTCAGGTGGAGAGGGGCTTTTCCGCTTGGGAAAGGCCCTCGGGGCGCCCACCCCACTGCCGCCCCTCTTCTCTGTGTCACTGCGGCCTTCCATATGGGGCTTGCTTTACAGAGTGGGGAGGAAGCGGGCCAGGGGAGCTGCCAGCAGGCCCCCAAGACCTTGCCGGGGGGG